TCTAAGGAGGGAAAAGAGACACGCGTGTTGATAGAACCTCCTGGCTCTGCCCGTGTCTACAGAAAATCTCCAGGGAAGGCGCCCGGTGTTCTTCCTTCAAATAGCAAAAGGCAGGTGGTTAAAAATGCATTTGAGTGAGACCGGCATACATACCAGCGAGTTATTCCTTCTTCTATTTGTGGGCGTGATTCTTCCTTGTAGCTACCGGAGATATAAGGACTCGTATGCATGACAAACAAACGTAAGACCTCGACGATTCCGTACCCTGATAGCGAGTAAAAGTCATATACTGGGTCATTGTGGAAAATGTATATAATTAGAAACGGCGAAGAAAGTGTCCATGAGCCTAGGGCTGGCGCTGAGCAACGTCAAATATGATAGAATCAAAGAAGCTACCTGAGCAACCAAAGAAATTTTCGCAACAGCGAGCGCCCTTGAATTCCTCTCACAAGTTTCTTCAGAAATCTGTACGTCTTTGCGAGTTTCCCGCGTGAGTAACGTCAGTTCGAGGGGAGCAAGCTCTGGGTATGCGATATGCGACAATCAGCGACGAGCGTAATCATGAAATCCAAGACGTACTTACATCTCAGAAATTTCTTCCCAGCACCTCGAACAGTATACCCGCTACCATTCTGCAGTCCTCCGCTATCGTTGTCGCGTGAGTTTGCCGTGTCATCATGGTCGCCATCAACGAGTGAGTTCGTAACCGGCAGAATCCTAGAGCTTGTATATATGTCAAGTATCTTCTCGCAAGGGCTTTGAGGTCTAAAATACAGCATCTTAAAATGAACGCGGTGAGCTAGATAAAATAAAGGCGTGTTGGCGTTGGCGTTGCAGGGTTGATGGTGGTACGAAGCAGAAAAGGAAATCCACTGAATTTCAAAATCCTTGTCTGCCTCCTATTCCCATGTCGGTATGTCGCGCATCCTGGACCAACGCAAAACTGATTGGGTAATATACTTACAAGTATTGAAAGGCATCAGAAGTCCTGAGTACGTGTCGCTATCCTTTTTTGAGCAAGGTCTGACGTCGCCAGGCCTTTACTTAGGATCTTGATTGTATTATCTTAGAAGAATATCACTGTTTTTACAGTGAACCTCGATTGGGAAACGATTTCTTCAGATCTCTGCACAATTCTCTATCGCCAGCCTGAGTACAATTTTGTTGACTCGCTGGAAAGCTTACCCGACCTTACCTCATCTCAGTCCATATAGTGGGCCAAAAATCAAAACCACTACATTCAGGACATACTCCACAAACATAAGCACGTGTTCGGACCTCCAAGCGTGCTTCACAATGTACTTCGTTCGCCTTCGGAACACGGCAGGTTCCCTCCTTTGAGGGAGGCATCAACTCCAGTGCACGGCTGTGATGCGCCGACGCTGGCCGTCGGTTAGCTAGCTGTAGCCTTGATATGGTAGTTTATGATGAGACACGCTTTGTGGGACAAGTCGTCTACCCTTGACACATGGGTGTGTGCGCTTGGTAACGAACATCGGATTTTTTGATAAACTTAAAGTGAAGTTATTTATTTTCAGTGCCGAGGCCTCTTGTCGGTATTAAACGTGAGTAGGAGACTTCATACCTATTACTAGTGCTCTCAGTTTGTCTGCACAGTACCGCTTGACGAACCTGGGTGGAAGTCTGTGGACGTATCAACTTGTCATTCTCGTTGCTTACTTTACGTCCTTAGTTGGCAACAAGCGCCCTCGGGTACCACCGCTCCCTCAGATGATATCTAAAACTGTACACGGTAAGTGCTGTACGAAGCCTCATTGCCGATAACTTTGGGAAGGCAAAATAAGCGCCGTGCATCGTGGTGGTCATGCCGGACATAAGAACCCCCCAGCACGCCTCAGCTCGTTCCCTCCAACCCACCACCACCAGATGTCCCTCTTTTCGAGACGTCCTACGCGTCGAGGCACCACCAACGGGAATAATGCTGTGAATGGCAGCACGAGCAATCTTCTTACTACATCTCGAACAGACTCCCCACCGCCAGAACCAGATTTAGAGCAGGATAACACTACTGTCCCAATCAACCAGACGGAATACGCTCGGAGATGTCGGGAGGTTATGGAGCTGTATCGCGCTCTTCAGGCACTAGGGTTCGTGTTCACCACCTCTTTCCGATACATTCTTACATACCCATCTGCTGTGTAGTGCGGATAGGTTGTTCCCAATGTTGCCAAAAATCATCGTCATCGGCGGTCAATCTAGTACGTTGTTTCTTGAATATGAATACGGAAGTCATACTGATACACGTCTTTGAAAAGCTGGAAAGAGCTCGCTGGTAGAAGCCGTCTCCGGAGTACGCTTACGTCTTTCACTTGCCTGGCACACACGCACTCAGTATTATCTAGATCAATGTACCTCGAGATAGCGGGACTTGTACTAGGTAAATGCCTCTCAAGCCCTTCTTGCGTGACCTCACTCCTTTGCATTGAGGTGTCCGATGGAATGCACAATGCTCAGTTCATCTTCCACCTGGTCGTGCACGATATACCTCAACTTGAAGTATGCGATAGACGGTAGTGAATTCGTCATCCCGGACAAGGCGCAGTTTGGGCCGGTTATTACCAACAAGGATACGGTCGAACTCTGGATCCGGCGCGCCCAAGCTGCAATACTATGTCGCCATCGTCCCAAGGAGGATTTTATCAGCATGAGTACGGAAGACCTACGTAGTCTTGCTACTGTCGACCCACAGATGCTACCATTCTCGAAGAATATTGTCCAGGTGGAACTGAGAGATCCGGACCTGACGGATTTGTCTTTCGTGGATCTACCGGGTAGGGAGCTCTTATCTTTGTCTTCATGTACTAAATGCTGTTTTTTTTCAGGAATCATTCACAATGCCGAAGAAGAAACTATTAAGCTCGTTCACGACTTAGTGGTTTCTTATATCGAAGAATCAGAGAATACGATTGTTCTCATAACTATTCCAATGAGTGGTGCGTTGTTCTTCCTCTGACACCAGGTGTGCCCTCTTCATGCCCTCATATGTAAGATGACATCGAGATGCAAGCAGCAGTAAAACTCGCAAAGTCTCGGGACCCTGACGGTGATCGTACAATTGGTGTGGACGTTCGTTCTGCTGCAACTATGACAGGCCCCAATTGTTCCTACAGGAGTGTTAACCAAACCAGACATGCTCACAGTAGGTGCCTCTGGTGCGCGTCAAAAGTGGAGAGAGATCATTCTCGGGCAAGATCAGAAGCACAAGCTTAAACACGGCTATTATTGCGTTCGTCTCCCGGACGACGACGAGCGCAGGCGCAAGATCTCTCGGGACGAATCCCAAGCGAGGGCGAAACGATATTTCGAGCGCACCTCTCCATGGAAAGAGTTTCCCAACCGCAGTCGTTTTGGCATACCTGCGCTTGTGCATGATATCAGCCGACTTTTGGTTGGACTCGTCGAGAATTAGTATGTACCCTTTTTTCTCAATGCTTAGGCTCATCCCCGTTTCTGGTATAGTATACCGACCTTGAAGCAAAGCGTCGACGAACTCCTTACTAGTGACAGAGCAGAGTACAACGCTCTTCCTCCACTACTGCCTACCGATGAAGCATGGTCCCAGATTATCATTCTCATCCATCAGTTCTGCGTTGATGTCGAAGCCGCGATCGAGGGCAAGGACGCACACAAGAAGCTCGTACAAGACAACCGGGCTAGGTATGAGCAGTTTAAGCGAGATATCCTCGGGACGTGCCCGAACTTTCGGCCATTCGAGGATAAGACCCGGTATCGGGATCCTTGTATCCGGGATGAAGAGTTCGAGGGCAAGGACAACCCGTACGCTCATATGGCTGCGTCCGAATACGTGATGGATATCAAGGATGTCAGGGGAGAGATTGAGAAGTGAGTGTTTATCCCTCCAGGTCCTATTGTGCTTAGCTCGCCTCTGTAGCTGTACTTCGTGGGAGCTTCCTGGTGAGGTCCCGTTGGAAACAACACGCAAACTCGTTGATCGCTTTACGAAGGAATGGTCCAATCCTTCCGTAGAGTGTTTCAATGCTGTATATGACACGTCGTCGGCGTACATTCAGAAGTTAGTTATACAGCGTTTCGGTCAGTTCAAGCCTCTAGAGGCGCGCATTAGGTTCGTTTCCTGTGTCTTTCACCGCCCAATCTGAAGCCTAATGTCCCCCCAGTGCGCTTGTGCGCGCTCAGATGGAGATCTGCAAGAGCGAGGCTCTTGTCATACTCGGCAAGGCAGTCAAATTGGAGACGTCGCCCGTGTATACTCAAGTACCGCATTACTCAATCGAACGTTCCAAGTGGTTCAGGCGGTTTCATAGGGTCTATACGAATCCTAGCGGCTATGATATACACCGACCATCAAATCCTGACGGCGCCTGGTACATTCCGAGCACGCCCTCGGCTCCTCCCGCTCGCGAGACAACAGAAGACGAAGAAGTCCTGCTCGTGATGGCTAAGGTCCGAGCGTACTTTGAGATGGCGTACAAGGTCTGCCTTTTGTTTAACATTCCTTTCCTCGCTGACCTAACCAATATCTAGCGATTCATTGACAATATTCCACTTACTATCGAACATGAGTTGCATCAGACTCTTCTGCCTCGTTTGTCTCAGAGTCTCATCATAGATATGGGAGGACCGGATGCCAGCGAGAGGACTGAGGAATTGCTTAGAGAGGATCCGGCGATCGCGTCGAGGAGGATTGTCTTGAAAGATAGAATTGCACGATTGGAGGAGATCAGGAGCAGGCTCTATGCCTTTACATGAAACCATATGTGTGCTTCCAGTATAAATCCATGCATTTCGAGTACTAGAAGAACGTATCCCTCCTCGTAATCGGAAGCAGTCGTATTAAAGGCTGGGGCGTACTGGGTCCCTGCCTGGATAGACTACCTCAACGACTAATTTTTAAGCTCGATCGATCACAAGCCCCCGCCTCCATCCCCTCTTCCGACCTTCAAAGCACTCATTTTTGGGCGGTCGGGGAAAGGAAAAAGGCCCTAATGGAGGCAAAAAGATGCCCTCATCCAGGGTTGAACTAGAGACCTTCGCATGACCTCGGAATATCAGTTAAATCCTGATAAGGTACAAGTGCGACGCGCTACCACTACGCCATAAGGGCTTATAATACTTTATTAATAAGATTTTTAACAATAAATGCGTCTTGTCGTATGGAAATCGTTTAATTACGATTCATATTCTATGTTCATGCGTATATGAAAATACTGGCAAGAAGTAATCTGATACGTAGTAAACCTTTGCCAAAGGCACGAGGAACGAGAAAAAGACGAGATATACCCAAGTAGCATAATCCCACCATACGCTTGCGTGTAAGATATCGGTAAATAGCATACCAAATGGATACAAAAAAAAAAAAACCTTTGCCAAGTATGTAAAGGATCTTGAAGGTTTACTGTCGCCACATCCTAGGCCTATGAATCCGTCAGCCTTAATTGGATATATACTGCGAAAACCTTACTCATATCCTCGCAGCCAGCGCGAAAGCAAACAGCAATGCAACTAGTGTCGCCATGCATCCAGTAATTATGACGGCCACCGTACGCGCGACAGGGAATTTACCCTGCGTCAGAGCTACCTGAATGGAGAAGTATCTCGACACCCCTACAGCCAGTATCCCCAAAGCCAAAAGAACCGTTGTCGCTCCAAGGGGTTTGGCGTATCCTTGCATGATAGCGCTGGTAGGTGAAAAGGACACGGTATTGATTGCGATGGAGAGAAGTTGGACGAGAGCAACGCCGGTAGAGGCGAGGAGAAGAGAGGTTCTCACATATGCAAGGAATGTCCTCTCAGCGGATAGGTGGTCCCTTGCGACGGAGCCATGGTTCTCCAAAGTTAAGCTGATACGCATTGCAGCGCATTACGTCCTCATCCTCACCGTTTCCTGGATATTTTATAGTGTGGCTTATTCCAAATCGTTGAGTTCAAAGTATACCTGCAATAGATACCGCGATTAATGGGGTGGCGTGGAAAGCCTTACGAACTCCTCGCCGAGCGAAAGAAGTCCTACTCTTCAAAGCCTTATGTGGTTGATATTTAGCTTGGTTATTCAGAAAGGTAACAAACACACTCACATACGCGGATTACTAAATTCGAAGTTAGCTCTACTTTCATTAACGTTTATGCGTCCAGTTCCATCCGTACCGAATGGCCGTGTAACATTGAACCCGGGTATAATTGAGTGACTAAAATCCCATGGTAAACGCGGCACAGTTCGGCTATAACCTCCCAGTGAACCTTTCAACCATCGCTATCGCACGCTTATGTATTAGCAACGTCCTCAGTTATATGGAATAGTCTGGATTGGTATATCAAGGTTGCCCTATCGTACCATCCTGTCTTGACATGCATAAGCCAGCACCAAGTAGCTTCAGACGAGACTCGTGCGACATCGATAGGCCTAGTAGCTGACACAGAGCTTGCCAGTGGTGTTCCAGAATATTCACGTTTCATTGATGCAATTTGTGCATCGCGACCCATCGATATCGAAGCCAATCTCATCGTAAGTTAGAAAGACTGGAGTTTTCTTTGTTCTTCCTTTCATTCGGCAGTGAGACGAGTTAATCCTTATTAATTCTTATCTCAGATAACAGAAACTGAGCGTATTTAGTTACATACCTTCGGCAGTGATTGATTCCCCTTCCGGTTCCTTTCGCCGTGCTAGTGGGACTCGGAAGATACGAAAAATACTTACGGTAAGATGCTTCACTACAGGGCGCATGCAATATTAATTTTACCAGATATGGAGGTAAAATCTTTTGGTTGACATCGCGTCTCAGAGAGAGTACTGGGGGGAGAGTATGGTGACTCGGCCCTTCGAGAGTAGAGATCTGCGGTGGTAACTTTGACTTAGTGGCTGCTCCACGTCAAAGACAGTCAACTATGACCACGTGATCGAGGCGCCAAGTCACACCTTTTTTTCTCAGCACTTTGTAGTAACCGCTATCTTCAAGTCACATCAAGTCACCATCATCTTCCATTCCATACAGGTTGCCTATGTTACATCTCCACGTCTTTTACTGCCAGCTTCTTGGACATTCTCTTCGCCGCAGTCTGGACCCGGGCAGCAAGACGTCTGAATGTCCGGACATCGGCCATTTTTGTTTCATTCACATCACACATGGCTTAGTTATCCTGGCTTTAAAGCTTTGACCCTCGAGCCACCCGTGATCTACAAACCACAAATTTGAAACTCGTTGTCTTTGGCCGTTTTTTTTCCCTTTCGTACTATGTAATCCTACACGCTAGCGTACTGTGGTAAATTTTTCTGTGTTCAACGCTTTGCTAATCCGTAACTGGCGAGCATCGCTGTGCTCATTGCGAGGTATCTCGCGACCATCTTTCCCACCGAGTTGGTGAGTTAATAAGACGGTGGACCGGCTGCTTTTTTTCTGACTTGGTCGTCCCCTCCTCTCCCTTCTAAGAATTCTCTTCGTCATCAATTTCTACTTCTGGGAATCTCCCTGTGTCATTAAGATATTTGATGAGGTGTGGTATGTTCTTACGGTTTGCTAAATGCTTTTGACTGTCATAGCTCTTCCTCGGATGCCCATGGCTGCCTCATTATTTCGCGTTCGGCACGGTATGCTGGGCAGTGGATGAGGAAGTGGTGTGTGGATTCGTTAAGGTATGAGTAATTGGGGCATGCAGGCGAATCGATTCGACGGATGTTGAAGAGATGGCGGTTGAGCCTGATGTGTCCGGTACGGAGCTGCATCATGATACTGGTGATTTTGCGTGGTAAGGAAGTGGCCAGTTTCCTATAACAGCGTGCAGCTTGCTGTGCAGATGCTGAGTCTAAGGTTCAGAACCTGGAGAAGCGGGGTGACTTCCTCCAGGCTCTATCAGCTTGTTGTTTCTGCTTTGCATCGAACTCCAGGAGTAATGATGTTTTGTTGATTGGTATTGGTTTTCGTAGTGGCGCTGGTATATACCGCTGCTCACTGACATCGCCCCGTGCTGCCGCCTTCGCTTCTTCGTCTGCCGCTTCCTTCCCCACAATACCTTGGTGCCCAGAGACCCAGCGGATCTTGATCTCGATGCCCGAATGTCGCCGCAATAGCATGTCCATGCGTTGATGGAGGGTGTCAAAGATATGATGTGATGGGGCTGGCCGTATCAGCTTTGTCGCTTGGATCGCAGATGTGTTATCAATGCTGATTGATGCACTTTGCACATTCGTCATGCCACGTATCGCTTCCGTGCATAGTATGAGGGAGATGCCTTCGCCGTCGTACACCTTATGCTTGCTTGCTTCACCAACCTTCATCCTCACCGTCTTTACCTTCCTCCCTCTCCGATATACCACTGCTGCTGCTCCTATCCCATTTTCGATGTCTGATCCATCTCCGTATGCTTGTACTTCGCTTCTATCTATCCTTTCCATCGTCGTTGCTTCCTGCATTGATTCCGGTATTTTGACTTGGACCTTCGTTTGCCAATGTGGTGGAAACCGTACAGCTTTGATGGTCTCTACGTCGTCTGGCTTGATATTGAAATCAGCGGGTCTCCTTGGTCAAGCCCATTAGCAACTTCAAAAATAATTGATTTGAAGTCATCAAACGTGAGTATCATTTTACAACCACTCAACCGTCGATGTAACCATTCCGTATACTGCTTAGGTATATCCAGCATTAGCATCTCGTGTATGAGCATGTCCACGTCAACACTCGTGAAGGCTCCTTTCACGTCAAGAAATAGAATGGTGACTACTTTACCTTTATGCCATGCATCCTTGATTGAAGATACCATCAGATGCACTGAGTCTGTTGTACATCGACCCGGACGTCCGCCAAAGTGCCTGTCTGGTAAAATATCCAGATATTCGCACCATGTTACCAGGTCCTGATTGAGGGTGGCATAAAGACCTCGTCCCCAATGTTATGGATATTTACTAGTTTCTATATTTAGTCTTCACTTTCCTTACCTTTCTTTTAATTTCGATGTAACGTAGGAAATTTCTCGACGTTTCTTCTCTAAATTTCCTCTAGTAAGTTCTAGAATAATGCCATAGTACTTAATCTGTACGAAAATGCCTAAAAGGGTATCTGAAATCTACTTTGTTAAATTCCATTACTTCGTGTGAACCTTGAGTGATTGAGTTCGACTACGCCTAGCGCTTGCTAGACCTGCTCGGGTTCCTTCGTAGGCAATCGAACTTACAGCTCTCTTCGCTACTCTTCGTATCATAGACTATATTCGAGTTGTACTTAGCTCGTACATCCTCTATACTACGCTTATTCCCAACACCCAACCATTTGATAGTATGATTGGTCTGTGCGCATTTGGGTCCTCATAGTTTGGTTTTCCAGGCTTACGGAGGATAATGGTATTTGTCGCACTCAGGTCTTGAGGATATTCACCTGTGATAAATGTTGCCCTGTATATTGGACCTATATGGGGGGCAGGGATGAGATACGTAGAAATAAGATCTATATTCCAGTACATGTCTACAGGCGCTCCAGAAAAATCTCTGCCAGAGGAGGTTAGGTTGTAGTGAGCCCTTCGATAAATCCTAATAGAAAGATTTCAAATAACAGACTGGAGAAAGCCACCATAAGACAGACATACCTTGTGCGGCCTTCCTCATCGCAGCCTGAATTTGCCGTTTAGATAAATGAGAGTACAGTCGCAGATAATGCATACCTTTAAATATGTTGGGCCCAACAGCTCGCAACGAAGCACCGGTCATGTTATTCGCGAAATTGAAAACGATGGCCGCAGCAAGAACTTCAAAGGCACTGCTAGTTCAAAAGACGAAGTCGACAAATGTAGCAAGGACCATCTCGAACTTCCTGCCGATCTACTGCCGGTGGATCTGCCCTAAAGATAAATACGCCAGAACGCGTCTTAGCCTATTTATCGGCATTTGCTTGTGCATCCGTCGCAATTCGCGAACGTATATCCTTTACATGTACCAACATACCATTCAAAGAGACTCAAGTAGCTTTAAAGAAGTCGTCCATTCTATCAAGGTCTGAATCTTCATTTTCTCAGTCCTTTATTATTCAAGACGGCGCCATCCATCCTCGATTCAATAAGGAGAACCCCAGCCATGGAAGAGCTCGCGCACGCACATGAGAATTTCTGAGAATGGGCGTGCTC